AATTTGTAATTTCTCTAAAATTCTCCAAATTATGTCTAGATACAATTTACGAACTTTTCGTCGTCCTTTTCTCAATCAAAATATCAAATTACGGACTTTACGGACCTTTTTTTAAAAAAAAAACGGACTTTTACGGACTTTAAGCAAATTTACGGACCTTTGCGGGATTTACGTACCTAGTTCGAGCCCCGCTGTGGGAGAAAATAGCGTCTATAGGTGAAAATATCTTGGGGAAAAAAAAGCCTGGGTGAAAATATTCTGAGCGAAAATAGCCTCTAGGTGAAAAAAAAATCTGGGAGAAAATATCATGGGAGAAAATAGCCTCTAGATGAAAATACCCTGTGAAAAAATAGCCTGGGTGAAAATAGCATGGGAGAAAATAGCTTATAGGTGAAAATATTCTATGAGAGAAAAAAGCCTGGGTGACAATAACCTGGGAGAAAATAGCGCCTAGATAAAAATATCTTGGTAATAAATAGCCTAGGTGAAAATAACCTATGGAAGAAAAAAAGCCTGGGTGAGAATAGCCTATGGGAGAAAAGCCTATAGGTGAAAATAGCCTATGGGAGAAAATATCCTAGGAGAAAAGAACCATGCGCAGGTGGAAATAATTTGGGAGAAAATAGCCTGGGTGCAAATATTCTGAGAGAAAATAGCCTCTAGGTGAAAAAAAACCTGGGAGAAAAGAGCCTGGGTGAAAATAGCATGAGAGAAAATAAATAGCATAATCGAAGAGAACAATGCAGAAGAAAATAGTGCAAAACAGAAGAATTAAAGACTCTTATACAATTTATAAGGCGAAACAAGTTGAGTTTAGGCAAACTGGCCAGGCATGTTGCATTGAAAGGAATATGTAAGGGCCGACGGACGCGTGAGTGAGCGGCCGATATCTCACGAGGGGATCAGAGGATCGCTCGCGTGTTTCTACGGCACTCCACCCGCCAAAGCATGTCTAACCGAAAGCCCCGAAAGCCACCCCATGTCCACGTGTCTCGCTCACGGTGATTTTCATTTCCGCGGCACTTCACCGCTATAACCTTAACTTACCGCCCGCACCACACCGCAAACTCTCCGCACTGTATATATATATTTTTTTTTCTCTCCAAGAAGCACGCATCGACCTCGAAATTCCAAGTATAGTTTAAATAAATACAGAACATAACGTAAGTCTTCCTCAAAAATCTATACATTATTCCCCCTTCTCCGCTGATTTTCTTTCTGAAAAACCTTTTCTTTCTTCTTAATTGTAAAAGGACCTTTATTTTACGTTTAGTTTCATGTTAGTGCTAAATTAGCAGATTATTGCCCAAAATCGGTTCTGAATTCTAAATTGTACTTAAAAGAGATTTAAAGAAGGGAAAAAAGGACAAAGGTCTTTCTTCAATCTTTTAATTTTTGGAACTTTAAAGAATATTAAGTGTACAGTATAAGAAGCATATAGTGGATATTGAGAAGAAAAATATTGATGTCATTAAAGAAACAGTAAATATTTTACGAGAGTCATTAAGAGTGTTGATATGAGTCGAATATAGGTATGTAGGAAAGCTATAGGCAAATAAAAAAAAGAACTGGTAGCCGCATTGTATACAGTTAAAACCTAATAAGCCCTATACTCACAACTATACAACATAAGCCAGTCCACCTTCACCTGGAGACCTCTGATAAAATCTCTCAACCTGGTTAATGTTAATATTTTACATGCGCTTGTATGTACAGCTATTTAAATTCCCCAACATTCACTAATTAAATTATTAAAACAATTTCCTCTATCTCAATAAATATTCAATACGCACTCATTTCTCTTTTAGGAAATTTGTATTTTAAAAAAATTAAAATTTAATTAAAAACCGTCATACACTATCATAGAAATACTGTTAGTATGTACTAAATACTTGTGGTAGAAAATAAGAATTTAATTTTATAGAATAGAATTTAGTTTCTATAAGTATATATAAAAAAAAACGAGGTTTTCTCAATACATGTTGATCTTCGTGTATGGAATGTCAATCCCTTGAGCACACAATCTCATCTCCGTTATTCGGCAACAACCCCTATTGAGAACACATTATGCAATTCAAATATTATTCAAAGGCTAAAAGCCAGAAGGCCTCGCGCAGATGATGCAAGAACCAAAGACCAAAAGTGCGTGTAACATTATACTCAAATCAAAACTGTCCTTAAATTTGAAACTGTTTAAAAATGTATATATAGAAAATATCTAAAAACTATAAATATTCTTATACACTTTTCTGGAAAGACAATAAAAGTATTCGGAAAGAAAATTTTTATTCTATACATACAAAAATATATTATAAAAATTTCAATTTCTAAAATAGAAAAGAACAAATAGCTCTTCAGCTGTGTTTGTCTATATATCAAATTTCGAAAATTCGATCATACGCTCCAACGCCATTAATCCGAAAAAAAGTCCCCAAACAAATATTAGATGCGTACTTTTTATATCTTTTTATATGCGGGTGGTTCTTCACTCAATGATCACTTTTGATTCTCCACTGTTCCCTATATTTAATAACTTAAAAAATTATTTTCAAAATGCTTCAAACTTTTGCACGATTAATCTTCACTGTTTTTAATTATTTTTTATAAAAAAATAATCAAAAAAAAATTTCTTTTTCTAAAGAAAAGTTATAATTTAATTGAAAAAGGCTCAGAAATGCATACTTTTCACGATTCATCACACTAAAATCATCAAGTTTCATATGATTTATTTTACACAAAGTTTTATGGCTTTAATGAATTTTTTTCTTTAATTTGTAAATTTCGGTTTCTGTAAACTCCGGTACATAATTTCAGTAAAGAGTCAAAAGTTTCAAAAAAAAAGTTTCAAGCCAATAACAAGTTCCAAAAAAACTCTTTTTCCCAAAGGACATTTGTATATTTATCTTTATATGAAAATGAACTTTTTCTACTCCTACGCTAAAAAATTGATTTGTTTAAATATTATGATTTGATATTATTTTTTTTTGTTGACCGCAAAAGTGGATCACTTTTGAATAATAATATTTTGCGGTCAAAAATGAGATTTAAGTATTACACATGTATATATATGTAGAAAATTGCGAGTAGAGGTGAGTCAAAGAGAAACTTTTATACAAATCGATACGACCGTCCCCATTTCTTTAGCACTCTTTCGACCGAATCTAGAAAGGCTGGACTGGTGTTGTAATTCATGATTATACGACTATAATGTAACCTTTGCGTGAAGGCGTAAAGACTCGTGACAATATAATCATAGTCAAAAGGAGAAGGGTTGAAAAATAATTCCAAGGGTCAAATATATATATGAATCTCGGGAAGGATACTAATTAGTGATGTTTTAGTATATATAGTCTATTGACTTATCCATTCAGAACTCTTTAGGTGATGTTTTATACATATAGTCACACACGTTTTGATACTCATTAATTCTCGCGACAAATAATTTCCGTCATACTCTTCCCCCATCATCTGCATAAAAAACCAATCATCTATATTTAACTTTTACATTCTATTTTATATCCCTTTTTAAAGTTTTTTATACCAGTGAGTGTTCTTATAATTATAAAAATTGTAATAACAAATAATAAAATATTATAATTTATATATAAATAGAATATTATAAATTTTGATATTAATTTATAATTATTTATCATTGTTTGTTGTCATAATAATAAAAATAGTTGTTTATGAAAGTTTTAATAGAATGAATTTTTAACGTGCAAAATATTTGTTATCATTTTGTGTCGCAACAGGAAATGCAAATATATGTCACGTAATATGCTGATTGTAATAGTTTTTTGGATAAGCAGATATATGACACTCGAGAGCAATTATAATATCACTGTCAGTATATTAATTAGGGACAGTTTAACAACTCTTACAACTGTCAGGAATCATGTTTCTTCGCTGTGGACGCGTGAAAGGATAAGTTTAATGACATTTACCACGATGCACTTGATCGATAATCTCAAATCGAATTTTTCTCTTAAAAAAGCAAAACAACAAAACGTTTCAAGAATATAAATTTATTTTTACAATTTTTACTTTCTCTTATTTTCATTTTCTTAATTTTATCTCTTTATTAAATTTCCAACTTCTTTTTTTTAAATAAAAAATCAATTTATCTAATGGAAGAGGGTTTTATAGAATATTATATTTAAAAAATGTTTTTAAAAAGTTACTGTCAAACATAGAGAGTGGTATTGATTTCATTAAAAGAGAAACATTTTACATAGAAATTGTTTCTGAAAAACTTATATTCATTATATTTTGTGTATAAATATTGAAAAATTTCTTCATGAAAATGTTGATAAAGCGAAGAAGGGAGAATATAAAAATATTTAACTATATGAAAAGGGAGATCGGATAAAAATGGAAAACGGATGATCCGTCTTATGGTTCATTGCTTAATCTTTTAAATGTAACGTGGCAGTTATTCTAGGGACGTCTGATAAAAGAATTTTTATGTATTTATTTGACCAATAATCAAATTACGAATTAAGTATAAAAATAAAAAAGATAAATTGAACCCAAAAACTTATTTTTGAATGAAACTTTATAAATTATACCAATAATAAAGGTATTAATTAATTTCATAAAATTGAAACTAATAAATTCTGACATTGAAATCCATTATAGTGGATTTCAATTTTTTTATTACGATTTGATTTCCTAACAGAACACTTTTATCGATGATTCTTCTGCTGCATCTGAAACAAAAAGGTATAAAAGTATTATATCTAACAACCACAAAATAAAATTGCCCAAACTCTCTTTCCGTAAACATTGTAACCAGAATCCTATATAACTTTCCTCTCCATCTGACCAGCTGTGTTGGACATTAGACGTCTGTCATGAAATAAAAGGGTTGATCCTCTGAAATTGTCCCCGATCACTCTCCTAATGCAATTAGCCGATTGAAACTAAAACAAAATGTTACTTTTAATTTTTCTCTTTTAGAAACAAAAATACTAATAAAAAAATTTTTTCTTTTATTTCAGCATCAAAAACAAATCCAAATGGATCGGAATACAGTGGCGGAGTGGTACCAGGTTCAACAACGTCGGTATTTCCTCCGTCGGTAAACACTGGTCCAATGACCTGTCTCACTAGTAATCCTCTAACGGGACTTTCAAACAGTTTCAACAATACCGGTCGAACAAATTTCACCAACAAACAACTCACAGAATTAGAAAAGGAATTTCATTTCAATAAGTACCTGACAAGAGCAAGAAGAATAGAAATTGCCTCTGCACTTCAACTTAATGAGACGCAGGTGAAAATTTGGTTTCAAAATCGAAGAATGAAGCAAAAGAAGAGAATGAAGGAGGGACTAATACCAACCGATGGTTCAACATCAAATTCAAGTCAACTTAGTGGCGCTAGAAGTAATAGTAATTCACCAACAGGTTCTTCAAATTTAGAAGTTGGAGGACTTGCACTACACAATTTTACAAATGAAAATAGTCGAGATTCATCTCCATCGACATCAAAGGAATGACATTATCATTAAAACGGATGGTGGCGTTTTTGTTAATTTTTTCTTACAATTCACCAGGTTTATTGCGCTCATTTCATAAAAGAAAAGAAACATTTATTCTTAAAGATCATCGACTGCTCACAATTTAACGATAAAAGTTATACATATACATATACTACTTGTTGACATTAATTGCGTAAATATTTTGTAAAAATTCACGTCTCAAAATTCAGAGTAATACGTTTTGTCACATGTTGCATTAAAAAAGAAGTCATCAGAGCGAGTTAAAAAAAATTACTTTTTCTAGATAACGCATATGTATATACAAGTAATGGCACGAACCTCCGACAACAATCGAATTTTTCTTTTTTAAACCTTTTATCACGCAACCATAATTTAAGAACTGTGGAATATAGCGTGAGACGATAGTCCTGCACTCGTGCCGTTAAGGATTTCGTGGTCTGTGACAGACTAAGTCAATAAAAAAACTCAAAATATATGACGACGATTGCTATCGTCAAATTTTAGAGATTATTTCAATTGACAGCTATTAAAAAAATTTAGTAAAATTTAGCAAAAACGACGAATATGTGTATAAATTTTTAAACAAACTGTTATATGGATTTTTCCCAATTTTTAAGAAGTTAGTGACAAAAAAAATTAGTAGTTTTCACTTTACCAAAAACGATTCCACGAATTATTTTGTCCTTAGTAAATAAATTTTTCTGTAAAACGGAGAATTCTTTTTTATGGAGCAGTATTCCTTTTTTTATAAATATCTAACGGAGTAACGCCAAAATTTTCCAAGAGGATAATTTAAAAATAGATCTCGACTTCATTTTTTACTTCCAAAGAACTAAATTATTTACGATCTTACTTTTTTGGCATAAAAACAAACTACTGTAAATAAACAACCAAATATAAGATATGTACATGTTGATTTAAAAATCTACTTCATAATTAATATAAATTCTAGACATTTCACAATATAAATTAAAATTCAGTCATTAATTGTGAAAGTGCTAGTAAAATTTTTATTCAATTTTATAATTTAGTTTCACTATTCTTGTATACATGTAAATATGACTTATGCAAATCTGAAGCAATTTAAATTGTAGAGGAAAATAAAAATTTCTCTGCCAATTAAATGAAAATTATATGCGAAATGTTTATAATTGATAAAAATATTGTAATCCTAGTCTATAGTATCAGTTTAGCTTAGATTTGCATAAGCTCGAGTTGTGTTAATAAATTATGTAATTTTAAGTCATAGATAAAAATTAAGCATTTAATATTTAAAAAAATATCATTTAGTCTTGGGTTTTTTTTAATTCACACAGAACTCTGTACTTAAAAAGAATGATTATTATTTCAAACTATAGAAATTAAACAGTAATGTTCTGTAGGAAAATGTAAAATGAAATAAAATATTATTGTATTTAAAATTAAAAATTGGACTTATTTTTCTAAGACCGGAATTTAGTTTAAGAAATTATAGAAAAAGAATACTTAAAAGTCGTATTTAATTAACAACATTTTAATATAGAATTTTTAATATAGAATGTAAAGAAATTTCAATTATTTTAAAAACTTTCAATTATTTGTTTATAAAAATTCAATTATCAATTTTAATAAAAAATTTTAAGTGTGTCTTTCTTTAAATTTACTAATAAAAATTTTAATTATTCATCTTCGCACTAAGAAACATGAATACATTAGATGACTCTTCTTCAAATCTATTGCTATTTCTTTGCATATAATTACTAATTCTTTCCTTCTTAAGGGACAATTCAACCAACACAGATTAAAAATTAACCAACTCTCTAGACTTAGTTAAAAATAAATAATTTGATAGCAAAAAGTGAGTCACTGATTTAAATAGTTATATTTTACTAATGAAATAGTTAATAATGAACTAATTCTTATTAGGTAAATTAACTTTTAGGTTATGTAAAAATGACTGAAATTTTTAGTATCTAACTATGACAATTATTAGTGAAATTGAACTATTTTTGTAGTTATTAATTTACTAATAATTAGTAATTATCTATCTAATTAATTATTTTCTACTAATAGCTGAAGCAAAATGTCAGCCACGATTTTACTAATACTATTTTTAACTAATTCAGATTTAGAAAGAAATGATTAAATTCTTAACTGACTAATCGCGAGCGGTTAAACTGGCTTTAATCACTGATTAACTTTTAACTCCTAATAACTCATTATTGACCATAGTAACACATCAAACAACCATATACTCTTTTTCCAATCATCTTTAAATCTTCTTTCACCTTTTCTTTTAAATCTTGTCTTTTCAGTTTTTCAAAAATCCCTGTAAACTTTTGCTGATGACTTAAACCAATAATCCAAATAACAAAATTCATTCACTTCTTCAACTCTTTTTCCATTAGAAAATAAGGAATGTTTCACTATCGTTTCTCCTTTCGGTCTCTTCTATAAAATAAATAATTAATTATAAACACTGTAATAATTAAAAATAGTAACTAATAATACATTACCAGTAGTCTCCTGTCCTGTAGTATCCTTCATGACCCGAATACTTGCAGTGAATGAACTATACGAATCACCCGACAGATGGCACGGAAGACGAAGAATGCGACAATACCAACAGACAGTATAGTTATCTACACATGCTACAAAAGCTCTAATGTAGATATAGTAGAATTTGATGTATTCAAAAGCGAAAACCACAACTAAGTCTATTCAATTGACTTCAGATGTCACTAAAAATGTTTTGATTCTATCATTCATAGACACTTCAGCAGTGAAATAAAAAACAAAATATTTATGTTATAAAAACCAATTTCTTAAAAAGAGGAATATAATTTTGTTTAACGAAAACCAGCTGCACGATGGAAAGTAATTCAGAACGTTTAGCCGATCTTCTAACCGGCCATAAAGCACTAGAGCAAGAAGAATTATTTTTAACTAATTTACTCAGTAAAATCGATAAACAAATACACGCTCTCCAGGTATGATGTTTAATTAGTTTTTATAAATAAATAACTCAATTGCTTTATAATTTAATTAGACAATATATATTTACGTTGCCCAAGTAAATGTTTTCTCTAACATAACCCCACTTTTTTGAATTTAATTTTCTTCAAATTTTTCGTTTTGAAGAAATGAATCATATAATATCTGAAATTTAAATTTTTTAACTTATTAGTATCTTGTAAGAATACTTATGTAGAAAATTAAATTAAGAATTAAAATTATCTCATATTTTCTACACGGAGAGAGAATATATTTATTAAATTTTGTTAAAGTATTTTACAAATTGGAGAAAAAGAAAAAGCGCAACAAAGCGAAATTTAGAAATTTTGATAAAAAATTTCGCTTTGTTGCACTTTTTCCCCAATTTGTAAAATACTTTTACGAAATTTAATATATATTCTCTCTCCGTGTAAAATCGTAAAATAATTCAATTGTTGATTTTCTCAGGTGGAGCAGTTAAATATTATAAATGCGAAAAACCAAACTGAGACCAATCCGATGAACAGGAATGATAACACTATAACCGGAGATGTTCCACAAGTACCTGAAGATAAAACTGAAAAGGAATCGTCAAATGAAAATAGACTCGAATTAGATTTAAGACCCATTAAAAGATACATCGATTCTGAAGAGGACGAGGAAGAAGACGATTTCGAAAATAATGAATTCGAATTTCCGAATAATAGTGCAGACTTTGATTATTTGTAAAAGGCAAAACCAAAATTGAAAATTGCTAATTAAGGAAATATATTTTTAAGAACTAAGAATTTAACTTGTATATTATGTAAATTTTATAGAATTTCTAACGTTTTGAATTAAAATTCCAAGTGGAAATTTAACTTTACTATATTTAATGTAATAATTTTTAAAATCCTCTCGATTCGAATCGAATTTTCGTTTAAACGTAATTATGTTTCTATTTTTTCTAACTTTTATAAATGAGGTTTAATTATAAAAGAAACAAATGCTCTAAAAATTCTGAAAGTTCAAACGAACAAAATTTTTTGGGAAAAAATCAAGATTATCTAAATTGACTTAAAATAGATTCGTTTGCTCTTTTAGAACTTCAGAGACAAAAGACTGAAAAATTAGATTTAAAATCCATTATTTAATATAATCTTTTTTTCGCAGAAGCATTAAGTGGAAATAAAAAAAAAGTCTCTAAATTAAAAATTCAACTTAACATTCTCATTGCATTCAATCGAAAGCACATAGTCCAAAGAAATTCTCTATCAACTATAAGATTTATTTGTATTTTACAAGAAAACGAAATGTGCGAACTTTTAAAGTATTTGAATTCCTAACGTTACTTTTGTTTTAAAAACTATAATACAATTTAAAGAAGAAGAAGAAGAAGTTGAAAAATTATGAAGGATTTCTTTGTTGTGAATTGTCAAATTGATGTGAGGGATCATCGATTATTGATGTCTGTTTAAATTGATCGGCCATTATTCTCGTGTAAAAGATACCTATTCCCTCAATAACAGCAAGCAATACACCGCCAACAATTGCGCTGCCAGTCATTGCAGCAACGCCATTTCTCGCAGCCAAAATTGCTCCTGTCGTTGCACCGCTTATTATCGAATTCCATGGATCTTCTTTCCGCCTAAAGTGAACTAAGGTGCAGTCAATTGTCGAGAATGTACCACCCCAAATGGCAAAATTTCCAGCCAATATTGGAGCTCGCTGTTGAACTGTTATTATACTTCCCATAAATCGTTTACTCATTCCACTGGGTGCATTTCTAAAACCTTTGATCGAGTGAAACAAGGCACCGCCAATTGCACCCATTGTAAATGCACCGCCACAGTCGTCCACTATTCGCCATGGACACGGTTCCCTGGTGTACTCCTCCATTTTTTACCAAAATTGTTCCTGTAAAGAAAATATTCTCATTAATAAAGATTTTAAATATCTATTCCCACATGGCATCGAAACCATCATAGTAAAAAATCAGTCACTGATTCAAATATGTAAATAAATTTTTAAAAAATTATCCAATTAATAAAAATTTTGTGAAATTCAACTGAAAAAAAATTAAATTTGTTAAAGAATTTAATTAAAAACTTTTTAATAAAATGGAATTTTCAAAGTATTTTAATTTAATAATTGATAAATAAAATTGAATTTTATAAAGAGTCACATTCTAATGTATTGATATTTCTTAGAGCGAAGATTAATAATTAAAATTTTTATTAGTTAATTTAGAAAAAGATACACTCTTAAAATTTTTTAATAAAATTGAATTTTCGAAAAGTTTTTTTGAAAATTCTGAAAAATAAGATTTTTGAAATTTTTTAATTCTACTGTTTCAAGATAATTGGATTTTTAAAAACAAATATGTAAATGAAACTTTTTTAAATAATTAAAATTATTATATAAGTAAATTCTTTTAAAGAATTTTAATTAAAGTTTTCAAAAATAATCAAGAAAAGTTAGTTACCGTAATTATAATTTTATTTTTAAGGTAGAAAGTCCCTCTTAAAGTTTTAAATCAAATTTTTGCTTCTAAAAGTTATATTATTATATTATTATCCAATAATTATAATTATTGAACTTCTTTTAAGTTTTTATATAATTTTAAATTTCTGATTGTTCAAATAATTGATATTTAATATACTTATTTCTTGAAAAACTTAAATTTTTATTACTTATTAAGTACATAATTAATTATTATTACTGCTTATTATTTTCAAAAATTTTAATAAAATTCTTCACAAAAATTCAATTATTTTTATAAATAATAACATCAAAGAATTACTTTTATAAATAGTAAAATTCTTTGCAGAAAATCAATTAGTATCAATACATTTTAATAAAATTGACTTAATCAAATTTTTAATTTTAATTATGAACAGACAAGATTATTTTTAAAAATTGAAAAAATTCTTTGTTTAATTCAATTATTTTCCAAATTTGTAATTAAAATGATTCAAAACTTTAATTATTACTTAAGAAAACGATAAATTAATAATTTTTTAAATAAAAATTTCAATTTTATTAGTTTACAACAATTAAAATTTCCAAAGATTTCAATTTAAAATTATTATGAACTTTAATTATTTCTCAAAATTCATAACATAACGCTTCTAAAAATCAATTATTATCTAAAAATTTGAATTGAAATTCATTTATAAATAAATTTTTTTTAGAAAGTTCTACGAGGATTCAATTATTTAAATATAAAAATAAATAATTTTGTGAATAATGGAATATTTCTTAAAATTGATTTTTTATAATGCATTTTATCAAAATTTTTGTAATTTATTTCTATAACAATGTTTTTATGTTTAAATCGATAGGTTTTTAATTAAACTTTACTATAATTAAGTGGTTTCAAGGTTTTAGTAATTTTTTTTTCTAATAAAAAACATAAAAATTATAAGTCACCTTGGTTATGTCAAAAAGTTGTTAAATTAAAAATTCGTTGTTAATAAATTTTTTTTAATATTAACATTGACAGTCCTTAAATTATTAAATTTATGTTTATCTAAATTTTTTTGAAAAATGGATTTAAGTATCAGCTTTTGAAAACTTGCTCCTCAATTGTCACTAAACTTTGCAAGTAAATCATTAATAAATTTTTGGAGATGTGTGGGTTTAAAACTCCCAGTTCTTCAAAACAATCACATTTTTTTAATTTTTAATAAACAAATTTCATCCTGGAAATTTGGAGAACCGAATTCGTAAACATTTTACTGCAGAATTTACAATGGACTGTATTTAAAGGTTAGGTTAAGTATTTGGAATTTTAACAAAACACACAAAATTTATGTATTTTTTTCATAAAGACTTAAAAAAATAAATTCTAATTTTAATTCTACGTTTGTTACACCAATAAATAGTATTAATTGTCTAATGTATAAATAAAGTATTAATAATGACATCCAAGTAATTGGATAACAGAATCTTAACATCTATAGAATGTTAACACTATACAATTGTCGTTTTTAATAAAATGCTAATTAAATAACTCAATAAATGTAATACATTAAACAAGTAACGGATTGTCCTTAATATTCCACCAAAATAAATAGAATAAATAAATAAAATAGTATAGTTAATTCCATTCTAAAGCAGGTAGGTCAAGGGATTAAAAAGTGAGGTTAGAATGATGAAATCACTCACGTAATTCAGTTCTACCCTCCGACATACAGTTTTACAGATAAAATATTGTTGCCAATTATGTTAAAAATGATTTTATAGAGATAATTTTATTTGCAACTTACACCAAAACAAGAAATTTCACACTATTTTGCACTTTGCTGGAGAAAAAACACGCCGGAGCACCTAGTACTTTGCACAGCTTCGTTGAAAAACAACTCGAGTCAGTGTCAACACTTAAATTGAAAGAAATATCAAAACAAAAATTTACGATTTAATGCTAAAATTGCCATTAACTGACAAAATACGAATTGAAAATTAAAAATTTGCATTATTTTACCAAATAAAAAGTATTCTTATTTTTAAGTTTCTATTTTCTAAATGGTAACAAGTTATTTATTTGACTAAGATTTAAGTATGGCGCCTCGAGTCCAAGAACCAATCAAAACCTTTCAAACAGGGTTTTTTTCCATTCCCGGGCACTTCAAATTAATAATAATTGAATTCTTCAGTTAAATAAAAAAAATTACAGTTTATTCCAATACTGACATAAATAAAAATGTTATAAATAAATAAATTTATATTAAAAAAGATTTTTTTTTAAATTCTCCACAAAAAAATGCAGTCCTTATGGAATTTAAAGCGCAACTACAACTAATGTTCTAAAATAGAAAATGGAATGAGAAATCCAAAAATAAATCAGGCCTCCACTAGTCTTTGGAATCTGTTCGTTGTATAAGCATAAAAATTTCTTTTTTTTTCCCAATTTTCACAAATATTTTCTCTCTTTCAACTTTAAAGAGTATTTTAAATTTATTGTTATTTTTGAGTTCAAGAAAATTCCCTCCAGTGACAAATTTTCAGAAACAAAAGAAAATATCTTCTCAATTCAGACAGTTGGGAATTTATTTTTCAAAAAAAAGTGTCTAAAAGTGTCAGAATTACAAGTGTTGGAAAAAATTAATTTTTCTAAAATTAAAAAAAAAGGAGAAATAAATAAATAATGGCAGAAAATTGTAAAGCAGCTGGGGATTCCCCTTGTGTGGAAAATTTGATTCCAAAGGAAGAATTAAAAGAAATTGGTGTTAAATTACAAACAGTCGAAAATGGAAATAGTTTATTAATTAAAAATGATCAAAAAGATGTTTGTCCTTTAATCATCAATGAAAAGAAGGAAGAGGATTTATCAAAAGTAAGTTTAATTCTTTATTTTTTATTATTTTTTATTTATTTATTTAATTATACATTTATTTGCATATTTTTTTAATTTTTATTTTTATTCTATTTTTGTTTAGCATTTATTAATATATATTTTTGTTTAATATTTATAATTAATATTGAATTGAAAAATTATTAATTTATTTCAATTAAATTAAAAGAATTTTTATTTAAAAAGAAATAAAAATAAAATAAAATAATAATGGATTAAAAAAATAATAAAATTAATTGATTTTGAAAAAATAAAAAAGTAATAAATTTTCATTTAATTTACTAATTACGTTATTGTAACGAAATTAATTGATTTATTAACTGTATATTTTTTTCCAAGGGTGACAATAAAATAATTGAAACAAAAATCGTCGAAACTTCTGATACCGTAAAAGAACAGCAAGAAGTCGTCGCAAAGGTTAAAAAACTTTGATTTTTGTTTTCAACTTTTTATTTAATTTAAATATAATCAAGTAATTATAAATATAATAATTGAAAATCATAATAGTAATAATAATAGTAATTATAAAAATTGTAATTATATATTTTATTAAATTTTAACCCCAATATTTTAGGATTCAGATGAGAATAGTTGCTCTTTAGGGACAAAAAATACTGAAGAACTGAAAAAAGTAGGCAAATTAAATATTTTTATTCTAAAAACTAAAAAATTTTTGTCTCTTAATTTGTTTTTCTCTTTAATTTTAATGTATTTTATAATCTTATTGTTTATTTTTTAATTAAATTTTTTATAAGAGCAGTAAAGAATTATTCTTTATTTTTTCAATAGAATGGCATTGAGAAGGTAAACACTGAGGATAAGCCTTGCAATTCTCCTGATGTTAACCAATTACTAATTGAAATTGAGGTACGACGGAATTAAATATTTTTTATTATAATTTTTTAATCAATTTCAAATTTTAATATTCATTTCAAAATTCGAAAACTAATTTCAACTTTTAATATTAAAAAAAAAAAAATCAAAATTAAAAAATTTAAAAATATTTGAATTTTATATTTTTAATTGCTAAAAATTTACGAAATAAAAGTAATTAGTATTAAAAAAAAATTTTCTCCAAAGGCTCGAACAAAGGAAAGGGATAATTATCATAATAAACTAATCGAGAGTGAAAAAAAATTCGATATTCTTGAGACTGAGTACAATGCACTTTCAAATGGAAAAGAGGATGAATCAAGTTTACGTCAGGAAGTGAAGAATTTAAAAATTGCCATGGCTCAAACACAATTAAAATTGGACGATCGCATTCGAATTGTGGCAAATCAAGAAAATCAAATTAACGCCCTAATGAGTCAAGTTTCATCATTAAAAGATGTTGTTAACATTACAAAAGATCTTTTAAATATTCGCAATATGGAAGTCAGACATTTACAGGTAAAAAAAATTATCAATTTTTCTATATTTTAATTTTTTATCATTTTTATAAAAAAAAAATTCTCAATTTTTCCATATTTTAATTTTGTATCATTTTTATAAAAAAAATTCTCAATTTTTCCACATTTTAATTATGTTTCATTTTTGTAAAAAAAAATTTTTTTTTAAATTCGAAATTATAAAAATTAACTTTGCATCTTTTTTTTCTCTATTCCAGGAAAATGTAGAGACAATGGAGGAAAAAATCAACATTGAACGTGAAAAGCATAATACAATGTTAGTGAAAATGGAGTCGGCCTTTAAAATAAATCTTGATTTGAAGCAAGAATATGAAACTCAATTGCGATTGTTTCAAGATCTACGGGAGAAATATGATAAAAAAGTCGCTATATTGACTGAAGAAAATGTACGTTTGGAAAGTCTCGATAAACAAAATAAAACTATTTAATTTCTTTTTTTATATAAATATTTAATTATCAGCATAAGTTTGTTTGATTTTTCGTGTTCAATTTTTTTGTATTCTTACAATACCAATATGTAAATATTCTAAGAAAAACTGAATATTTAAATAAAGTATCGTTTTTTACAAGAATAACAAAATTATTCCGATTTCTCAATTTTCGCAAATTTTCCACTGTGAAATTAAGAAAAAAAAATATTATATTGAGAATAGACTATTTCAAATTCGTTGCAGTTCATTTGAAATTTTGAAGATGGCACCACAAAGTCGAAAAAAGTATTAAGTACATTCTACAATGAAAAAAAAATTATTTGATTCAAGTAAATATTTATTTGATTATTATCAAATAAATATTTACTTTAATCAAATAATTTTTGTAGTATTTATTATTTAAAAATAATTAAATAAAAGTATTTATTATAAAAAGTTACACTGGAAAAAAAAATTTATTTGATCCAATTAACCGATTACTAAAAATTATTTGATTCAAGTAAATATTTATTTGATCAAATAAATATTTTCTTGAATCAAATAATTTTTAGTAATCGGTTATCTGAATCAAATAAATTTTTTTTTCAGTGGAACTTTTTACAATAAATACTTTTATTTGTAAAAATTTATTATTCTAAATATTTTTCTTAAACTTACACTATTGAAATATTGAATTGTAATATTACTAAGATTACATGACATTCCAGTAACATTATAATAATATTTCGCGCTACTTGGGTTTTTTATTTTTTAATTTAAATTTATAGACAACTTTCCCAGATGGCGACACTTTTTATTTTATTTTCCTATTTTCATTTAGAATTCAAAGAGAATATATAAAAACTTTTTTTGTTGTTGAAGGTATTAAAACATCATAACTTATCTCAATTGCGTGAGTCACTTACACTTGTGTAATCCTAAAACAATTGTTCAAATATAAATGTATAATAATCAGTCCTAGTTGATTAAAGAATAAAAATTTCATAAAAAAAACATTAAATATATAATATAAAATATAAATTCAAATATAAATGTATAATAATCAGTCCTAGTTGATTAAAGAATAAAAATTTCATAAAAAAAACATCCGTTCAAACGGATAAATTTTTTACTATCTTTTTTCAAATTAAATCTTAAAAAATAAACTTAGATATATGTACCTGGAAATTTTTAAAAATTAAGTTCATTATTTAATTTGCGAAAAAAAATTCTAAACAATAGGAAATATTTGTTTCTTCTTTCGAACTTATATAACTAAATTCTATATTCCCATAAATAATAGAAAATAATAGAAAACATATTATGAAATAGTTACAATATACGTATATGTATACTTAGAAATACAAGTTGCGATTATTTTGTATGATAACTGTGTTCGTAAAATAGAAGATTTGAAGACATCGCGTAATAAAGAAACAAAACAAGTTTGAGACTAAGTTTGGAAAAAATTTGAAGTCAAATCTACATAGATCGGATAATGAATACCCAAGAAATATGTAACTGATTTATTTTTGGGAGGAGATTGGAGGGTCGAGCTTGGCTATTTTCAGAAGGTTGCCACACTGAAACTGTTATTGTGTCTGCTATTTTTTAGTCGCAAAATTTAAATTTATATATATATATATATATATATATATATATATAAATACGTAATTAACGTACATTCAGAAAAAAAATCCCAACCTTATAGGGTAAATGCACTAGTAGTCGGACACTTAAGGATACAATCTTAAATTATGCTTTTTTTCTTGAAATAGCAAATATCTACTGTGTTTATAAGCACATTATTAATTAAAGAAGTTCTTCAGGATTAAAAATCATATAAATTTGTTACAAATAGTTGAGTATTTAATAAAATATAAACATTTTAATAAAAAATTACGAATGCTTTAGTAGTCGGACACTTTTTCCCCTTGTTTCTATAGTCGGACATCTGTCAGATATTTTGAATTTATAAAGTGAAAAAGATAATTTTTTAATTGCTATCTACTGGAAAATGGAATTAAAGCATATTAGAAGTTATTAATATAATATTTAAACCCTATAAGTTTTAATATTTATGATTAATTATCAACAAAACTTTGTGCCACTCATCGCGCTACTCGAAAATGGCTGTATCTATAGTCGGACACCATGATTTTTAAAACATTAAATAAAATATTTCTTGTTTAATTATTTTCGAAAATAACACTATTTTAATAAAATATAAACTTCACACATTCGTTTTGTATACTTTTTAAAGTAATTATCACAATGCATTATTATTTATTTGCCAAAAAACACGAAAGTGTCCGACTACTAGTACTGTCCGACTATACCCGCACTTACCCTAGATACTAATAACTAATTTTACAATTAAATATTAAATTTATATTTCCTTGAATAAAATTATAATCAATGTGTATAACTATAAATTAATAATAATATAGCATACTAGCAAACAAAATTCAATTATCTTCAAATATAATAATAATAATATAAAGAAATAAAATATATTAGCAAACTAATGAAATTACGAGGTATCGAATATCTGCAAAAACACGGAAGAGACTTTTTTTGGAATATATGGATTATGAATGTTTTTTTAAGTAATAATATGCTATCGAACAATCAAAATTTAGAAAAAAAAGATTAATGTCTGTATTTATAGTAATTTTTATGGGCTTCATGCAAATTTTTTTTATTTATATACAAAAATAACTGAAAGATTTATTAAAAAATTGTGATTGAGAAATAAATGGCCCAAATTTATTTCTTTTTCATCTTTTTCAAAAAGAAAAACAGGATTTTGTATAAAAATTGTAATTATTAAATAGAAATTCTGATAATTTTTTTACATTAACTTCTAAATAATTAATAAATAAATTAATTTAAATAATAAATTTTATATCGTTAAAAATTATGATTAAAAAACATAAATTACACAAATTTATTTTCCAAAAGAAACTAAAAATTTTGTAACCAAATATTATTAATATTGACAAATCAATATTATGAAAATTTCTTAATTTTATTTTATAAAAATCTTTTAATTTTCTCAGTTTTATAATTTTTAATAAACATTAATAAATTGTGATTGACAAAATCGAAAAACTGTACAATATTTTGGTATGTGCGATGCAATAAGTGTTTTTGAAAAAGAAATAACAAAAGCATTTACAAAAACTAACTTTAAACTGGGGATAAAATGAATTAAAGATGTATAAAATTGTCTATGTTAATAATAATGGTTGTATTCCGTTAATTTATTCGCAGTTTAAAATTAGATGTTTGCTTTTATATTTCCTATCTTTTTTAATAATATTTTTCTTCTGAAATATTATCAATTTTAAAATTAATGTATTAAAAAGCATTGAATTCTTGCAAAGAATTTTTTCAAAAAAATTTATTTAATTTTTTCGAAAGATTTTTTTATTTATGAAAATATATATATTCTTGTGCAGAATTTTATTACAATTTTCTAAAATAATTTAATTCATTCAAGGAATTTTCTTAAAATATAGAAAATAATTAATTCCTATCGAAAAATATATATTATTAAAGATATTTTGCCAATAATAAATTGAATTCTTTTAAAAAGTTTCTTTAATTTATTAAATATAATCGATTTTATTAAAATGTGTAATTAATAATTTTATCATTAAAATTTTATTAAAATTATTGACATAGACAAATAAACTCTTTTATACAATTTAATTAGAGTTTTTGGTAAATATGATTAAATTCTTTTAAAGAATTTCTTTAAGTTTTTTTTTTTAAATAATGTTGTGTTTCGAATATTTTTAATTAAAAATTTTAAAAATAATTGAATTAAACAAAGAACTTTTTCACCTATTGAAAATAGTCGTGTCTATTGATAATTATATAATTAAATATTTGATTATTGAAGTTTATTAAAATTGTATCTAAAATAATTGAATTCCTGAGAAGAATTTTATTGTTTATAAAAAATAATATATTTCTTGCCATGAATTTTACTACTTATAAAAATAATTGAATTGTTTCGAAGAATTTATTAAAATTTTGAAAAATAATTGAATTTTTTGCACAAAATATTAAAAATTTGAAAAACATTGAATTCTTTCATGAAAATTTATTAAAATTGTATTACAAATAATTGACTTTTTACAATGAATTTTACTATTTGTAAAAGTAATTGAATTATTTCAAAAGGCGTCTTGAAATTTTAGAAAATAATTGGATTCCTGAGAAGAATTTTATTATTTATAAAAAATAATATATTTCTTGCCATGAATTTTACTACTTATAAAAATAATTGAATTGTTTTGAAGAATTTATTAAAATTTTATAAAAAAAAAAGTGTATTTTCTTTCGAAAAATTTTATTAAAAATTAAAAAATATTTGAATTGCTTCGAAGATTAAATTTTTTTAAAATTAATTAAATTTTTGCAATGAATTTTACTTTTTATAAAAGTAATTGAATTTTTTCAAAGGACGTATTAAAATTTCAGAAAAGAATTAAATTATTTTGATAAATTTTATAAAAAAAAAAATGGAAATTCTTTTGTGAAATTTTATTAAAAATAATTACTTATTGAATTTTTTCAAAGATTTTACAATTTAAAAAAATAATTGAATTGTTTCGAAGTATATTTATTAAAATTTTATAGAAAATAACTGTATATTCTTTCAAAAAATTTTATATTAAAAAATAAATAATAATTGAATTTTTTCGAAGGATTTATTATAATTTTTTAATAATAAATGAATTTTTTCAGAAAATATTAAAAAATTGAAAAAAATTGAATTCTTTCAGGAAATTTTATTAAAATTGTATTAAAAATAATTGAATTTTTGCAAAGAATTTACAATTTAAAAAATATTGGAATTTTTTTGAAGAATTTATTAAAATTGTAGAAAATAATTGAATTTTTTCCGTAAATTTTATTAAAATTTTGTTGAAAATAATTGAATTTTTGCAAAAAATTTTACTATTTATAAAAATAATTTGAATTATTTTTCAAGAATGTTAGTATTTACGAAATTAATTCAATTCTTGCGAAGAATTATTTTATTATTTTTGAAAATATAAACAATAATAATTAATTATGTACTTAATAAGTGAATTTTTTAAATTTTGATTACAAAATTTCCCGTTTCT